CCCCAAAACCCCAAAACCCCAAAACCCCAAAACCCCAAATAGTAACAAAGTAGTCGAAATATATAATATATTTAATCCAGGAATATGATTGAGAAAGCAATCTTAATTGGAGCAGGAGTCGTTGCACTCATCATCGTCGTTGCATTTGCCTTCATGTGGGACTCTGTCGAGCCTACTGAGTACGGGATGACATACAACTCTATTACCAAGACTGCAGGAACAGACCATATCTATGAAGGAGGGCTTTACTTTGTTGGACCTTTTAAGCATTTCATTAAATTCCCAGCAACAGTCACTCACATTGAGTTCTCAGATAGAAAAGAGAGGAATGCTCCTCCTCTTGAGACCAGAACTAAAGAAGGACTGGGTCTGATTCTTCATGTTGCTTTCCAATACAAGCTTCACAGACATAGTATCCCGAAACTTTACAAGCTGACTAATGTAAGATACGAGGAGACCTTTATCAGACAAGCCAAAAACATCATTTTAGAAGAAGCTAGTGAGTATAATGCCCCTGAATATTGGGAAAAGAGAGGAGAAATCGGTGCTAATATTGCTAAAAGGCTCAATGATACTCTCTCAAATACCTATACCAGTGTTGTATCTTTCCAGATGATTCAAATTGACCTCCCTCACAGCTATGAAGACTCTATTGTGCAGACACAAGTAGAGGTGCAGAAGAGAGAAACCAAGAGATATGAGCAAAAAGCCACAACTATGAGAGAAAGTATCAATGTAGATGTTTCTGAAGCTAACAAGCAGTCTCAGATTATCTATGCTGAAGCTGATGCCAAGGCCATCAATGCTACTACTTCATATGAAAAAATGGCATATAGAGATGCTTCTGCCTTGCTTGGTCTTACAGCTTCTAACGGACTTATTGAGTACACAAAACTTATGAACATTATGAAGAATAAAGACAGTCAGTTGATTATTGGAATGCAGAATGCATTGATTAATATCCAGACACCAGGGCCTTCTCAACAAGTCTAAAGTGCACCAGTCCTTAAGATCTTATTTCAATTTCGAATTTGAATTAAGGGGTTTTGGGGTTTTGGGGTTTTGGGGTTTTGGGGTTTTGGGGTTTTGGGGTTTTGGGG